TTTGTCTTTCTGTCTTTAACATGTCATTTAACATACTGTCTTGCAGGTTCATTGACATCACCACAAATGGCAAATTTTCATTCTTTTTAAGGTTTATCAGTATCTCATTGTGTATATATTCTGTATTTTTCTCTACTCATTCATCTATAGATTCATTCATTGGTGAATATTGTGTCTCATTCACAGCCCTTTCCTTAAAACTGGAAGTGATGCTGACTAAGGTTGACTGAGATTGCACTAAGATGCTGGCCACTGATTAGTCTCTTTCCATGTGCTACCACATTTCATCATCTAAAAAAATCTCAGAAGTGAGTATTTGTTATCCTAATTATAATAATAAGGAAAATAAATCTTAGAGAGCTTTTTTAAAAGGGGTAAAATTAAACACAACAAAACAGAACAAAAAAGGACATAAGAAAGCAATGTAAGAGATATAAATTTCAAAGCTAGATGACCTGGGATCTTCACTAATCATCATACTGTCTCTTGTTTTTTTCCAAATAGTTGTCCATGTCTTCACATACAGAGAATTCATGCAAAACAACATAGTATAAAACTGATCCGATCAGAATGAGGAAGGTGATTTATGTCTTCAAAACCAGACAATAGAGAGGTCACTAATGGCTGTTGTAGAGTCTCTCATTCTCTTCAAAATAGTTGTCCATACTTTCTTTTTTTTGGTTTACCTCTTTGACATTTATTAAGCAGTTATAACTGTAAAAAAGTAAAAAAGTATGTACAGTTGTTGACTGGACTAGACAACAGCACCATTCACAATAGCCAAAATGTGAACACAACCCAAGTATCCACACACAAATGAATGGACAAACACATTGTGGAAAATGCATACAGTGGAATATTATTCAGCTACAAAATGGAAAGCAGTAGGGATAAATACTTCAATATTGGAGGAAGTTCAAACCAAGAAGTGGAGTGGAGGAAGCAAGACACATGCACACACACACAAACAAGCACTGTAAGATACCTATGCAGGGAATGTCCAGAATACACCAGGCCAGTTCACAAGACTTGAGAGCAGCATTGGCAGGCAGATAGAGGCAGTCAGCTGTGCTTGAGAGAGGCTGGGTGACACAATAAAAGGGCCCATGAGGACAAGTCCTGAGAGGTCCCAATGTCTAACAGTGATCAGCAGACACACTCCAGGGGGCAGCCCTAAAGTACCCCCTTTGGCAGCTGTCCATACTTTCATGTATATTGAAGTTCAACAAAACAAAACAGGCTAAAATAACATAATTAATTGGGACAAAGCAAAATAATGATAAAAATATTTGCCTTCAAAGAGATGGTAGGCAGAAATCACCTCTATTTGCTACATTGCCTGTGGTCAGCCTCTCAAGGGATGTCCAGATCACTGGATCCCACTTGCTAATGGGGTGGGGGTGGGGGCAGATGAATGTTTGATTCTCAGCCTGCCCGTGCAGGCTCACAGCTGCTCACCAGGGAGGGGAGGGGTTGCTTGGTTTCCTGGTGCTCCAAGTCCCAGCATGGCACGGGTCCCAGTAAATACCAGCGGCTTCCATCCTGGGCCATGGCATCCTGCCATGCTCACAGCTGCACATGGAGGGTCAGGGGGGGATCTTAGATAGTTTAATAGCAAGTAATAGAGTTGGGATCCAAATCCTGGCCTATCTGAAAACCTCCTCCTATAAGTACCACATGCTGATTGCACCACTGAAACTATATGAATCCAATTACGTTTGCATTGCATGGTGGCAGGGTATGCAAGTGGAAATTCCCACATAGGTGGAAATCTGGAATTAGACATTTGAAAATAAGCTTTAAAAGCAAACATCAGAAAAAAAGTTTTGAAATATAGCTCTTATGTCAGTGAAATGAGGACATTTCATTCTGAATCCTGAAATCCTATTCTAAATTATGCCAGTGGTACATTTTCTTGAGGGAACATCTAATAGGTTTTATTAGGTTCCCTCAAAGACCATGGAACAAAAGTACATAAGACAAAACTGCAAAAGTCATAAGCTTGGAAAGGACCTGAGGTTAGGAAGTGTGAGATTTTCAAGACGGGAACAGAGAGAAATACTGGAAACAGAATCTAATGAAGACAGTCTCTATCAGGATGGATGAGAACTAGTTCCAGCGGTGCTCAGTTTACTAAACTTGCATGGAGTCACCACCCTATGCTACCAAATTCCAGCCAGTCCAACTCTGAAAACCATTCTGTAATGCAAAGTTTGATTCCTCATGCATATCTCTCTCAATTCCCTGAATCCAGCCTCATTCACTTTTCCTTGAAATCGTGAAACACCTGTTACTCACATTTACTTTCTTCTTCTCTTTCATGTTGCACATTTCATAATTGTATTAGTGAATTTTTCTATAATTAATTCATAAGTCCATACAATGTGTCATTCCCTATGATTTATAGACGTGAACAGAAAGACATAGTTCCTGTTCTTTGTTGTATTTTAATGAGAGATTTAAAACAGTAGGATGTTTTGTGTGTAGATAATGCTATAAATCTAATAAAATTTTTCCTAGCTGTGAGACTTAGAGTTTCTTAATCTTTTTACACTTATTTTTTTACTTCTGAAAATGGGGATAGCAATTGTACTTTGTAGGGTATTTTGAGGATTAAGATTTCAGATACTAAGGACAGTGCTGGACATGGAGTAGATGAAGGTGTTTGTTATTTTGCTTTGGGGGTAGATCTACTTAAGAAAGATGGTCAGAGAAAGACTTTGTGTGTGTGTGTGTGTGTGTGTGTGTGTGTGTGTGTGTGTAGATTAGACCTTCAAACATGCTGGACTAGTGCTGTCTCACTGATCTGCATCCCTAGACCTTTTTATTTTTATTTTGAGACAGGCTCTAAATTGCTCGGGCTTGTCTCAAAGTTGTGGTCTTCCTGTCTCAGTCTTCATAGTAGAGTAGCTGGGATTAGAGGTGTGTACCACCATACCTGGCATGAAAAGACAGATTTTTGAGCTGAAACATCAATGATAAGAAGTTAACGATAAAAATATAGGTGGCGCTGTACACACTGATGCACATCTGTAATCCCAGCACTCTGGGAGACTAACGTGGGGGAACTGGAAATTTGAGTCCTGCCTTGGCAATTTAGTAATTTAGGAAGATCCTGTCTTGAAATAAAATATACAAAAAGGCAGGGGATGTAGCCTACTGTGAAGATCATTTGTTCATACCCCAATGCCACAAAGAAGAGGAAAGGGAGGAAAAAAGTAAGTAGCAGGTGAAAAGGCTCTGAAAGAAATAGGTGCACTAGTAGACAGATAATCACTCCGGGGTAGGAACAGGGTGACTAACCACAGAAGATGTGTGAGATAGAGAAGGACAGAGACCAGTTTCTATGAGTCCTTAGGATATCATATTTGAATTTTATTCTGCTGGCCTTGGGAAGATATTGGAAGGTTTTGAAAAAGAAAATGAGATGACGTGATTTAACTATTTTATAGGGTTACTTTGGCCATGAGGCCGAGAGTTAATGGACCAGTGTTAGTTTGTAGAACAGGAAGAATACAGATTGGGAAGGAAATCAGTGTGATGCAAGCTTCTAGTAAAAAATAAGCTTCTAGGAGTCAGAAATTTAGCTCAGTGACATAAGTGCCTGCCTGGCAAGTGTGAGGTTGTGAGTTTGATACCTGATACCAAAAAAAATTTTTATAACATATTTTACCATGTTCTAACAAAAAAGAACTTAGGTTTTAGTCTTTTTACATCACTATGAATAAAGCTATAGTGATTTTTTATTTGTATTCTTATGTCTTTCTTGAGTAGATCTATGAGAAAGTCTGCAATATAGTCACCAGGATATGACTTTGTTTTGCTTCCTTTCACAGTTATTCCTCAGAATTTATGAAGACCTGGATTCAGATCATTGAAAGGTACCAAAATTTCACATGCTGAACTTTTGTATACATATTTATGTAGTAACTGTACCAAAAATACATGCATCCTCTTATAAACTTGAAATTATGTCCAGATGACTAATACTACCTAAAGCTATGCAAGCAGTGTTTTTATTTTGTTATTTAGGAGATAATGCCAAGAAAAAAGTCTGTAAATGTTCAGGAAAGATGAAATTTGTAAATATCCTTATTTTTATTAACATGTGAACTGTACATCTGAATGAGAATTGGTGACTATTTCAACAATGTGTATAGCACACACTAATCAGATTCAGTCTCCCTCTGTTAAGCCTCACTCTGCCCACATCAATCATTTTATATTTAGGTTGATATTTTTAGCTTCCACATATGAAATGAAACATGTATCTGGCTTATTTCAGATGCATTTAAAAATATTTTCCACCTGTGGTTCATTGATTCTATAAACACAAGATCCATGGTTACAGAGGCTGACTGTATCTCTGTCCTTGACTTGAAGTTCTCTGATCAGAAATCTCTTTCTCTTTTCCTACATCCCACTACAAACTTAAAAGTTAGACATTTTGTGTCTGTTATTTTAGTGACTGCTGGTAAAATTCATTCATACATCCTTGATGCAGAAAGTCCACATAGTCAGAATGTCTATCCTTCTACAATATGACAGCCTTAAACTTTTATTTTAAATCTGCTTTGTATCTAAAATTGCCTAATATTCTAATCTATTCTCTTAATACGCATTCTCATTAACATTGTTTATATTTAAAACTTGGTTTATTTGTAATTTTTCTATCTATAAACCAACTTCTTGACTATTAATTCTTGGATATCATGTCTTTCTGGACTTAAATATTTTATGCTGAAATACGCCCTCCATGGTTCTCTTAGTGAGGGCATGTACAAAATCCTCTCCCTCGGTCTTTGCATGACATGAGAATATTTAGATGGAGTCCTACAACTAAGCCTTGAAAGATGAATTAATGTAAACACTGTCAATGATTCAAGGTGTTGTAATTATTCTACATGAGAACTAGAATGTGATCTCATCTACCCTCCTCAAATTATTCCCATAGCATTCATACAACTTTCCTTCTCCATACTTCCAGACAATCACACCACATGGAAGCACAGAACCAAACCAGTGCATCTGAATTCATCCTCCTGGGGCTTGCAGAAATGCCAGAACACGAGACTCTGCTCTTTTCTCTGTTCCTCTGCATGTACATGGTCACAGTCGTGGGGAACTTGTTGATTATCATGGCCATAAGCTTGGACTCCCACCTCCACACTCCTATGTACTTCTTCCTCACCAATCTCTCCTTGGTTGATTTTTGCCTGGCTACCAATACTGTTCCTAAGATGCTAGTGAGCATTCAAACCAAGAGCAAATTCATCTCTTATCCTTGCTGCCTGACCCAAATGTATTTTTTCCATTTCTTTGGAATCATGGACAGTGTCTTACTAGCCGTGATGGCTTATGATCGTTTTGTGGCCATTTGTCACCCCTTACACTATAGTACCATCATGAGCCCATGCCTCTGTGGACTGCTGGCTGGTGGCCCATGGGTCTTTTCCTGTTTCATCTCCCTCACCCACATCCTTCTGATGGCTCGCCTGGTTTTCTGTGGCAGCAATGAGCTTCCTCACTACTTCTGTGACCTCACTCCTCTCCTCCGGCTTTCTTGCACAGACACATCTGTGAACAAGATCTTTGTTCTCATTGTGGCAGGGATGGTGATAGCATCACCCTTCATCTGCATTCTTGCCTCCTATGCTCGAATAATCATGGCCATCATGAAGGTCCCTTCTGCAGGAGGTAGGAAGAAAGCCTTCTCCACCTGCAGTTCCCACCTTTCTGTGGTAGTTCTTTTCTATGGAACCACTATTGGGGTCTATCTCTGTCCCTCCTCTGTCCGCACAGCTGTAAAGGAGAAAGCTTCTGCTGTGATGTACACAGCAGTCACCCCATTGCTGAACCCCTTTATCTACAGCCTGAGGAACAGAGATCTGAAGAGGGCTTTGAGAAAGCTCATTGTCAGAAGGGTCACATCATCTTCCTGACCACCAGAACAAACATGACTCTCCATAGAGTAGACTCTAAACACCTGGGATCTTGGACTAAAGTCTGGACTTGCTGGATTGGAAGAGTAGACACATGGAATTTTGAGCTGCAGAAATTCCAAAAGAAACCTCAAGAAAGGCTTGTTACTATTTCCTCAAATCTAAAAGAAGTAAGAAACATTTTGGGTATGTCTCAAACTGCCTTAAGAGAAGGATAATTCTACCCTTCCATATAAGGTTTGCTCTGATTTCAAAGTCATGTGGCACTCAACAACTACAGATGTGTATTGCATAGCAATATGGATATGTTCTGCAAATTGCATCACAGGTGTTTTATCATTATTTGAACATCATGGGTTTCAGTCAGTTACTAGGTATGAGTTCTTGAAATTAAAAAGCACAGTAACATGAGATGAGTAAGGCTGCTACCAGCATCGCACAGTATATTGTTCCATGATAGTCACTTATTTAATAAGTTGGAAAAGTATATCTAAAACAACAATGAAAAGTATGATACAGTGAGAACATAAACCAGTAACATCATCATTTCTGTTATTGTTATTCTGTTATTATATATTCTGTATATTTGATGGCAATATGTACTATACTTTTTAAGTGTGCTATGCTATTAGAGGCAGATTGGTTTACAGTAACACCTCCATGAATATATGACTGATGCATTATACTACAATGTTACATTAACCATGATGTCACTGGGCAAAAGAAACTCTCCAACTATAGGTCAAGCCTGTAATCCTGGCAATTGGAGGATCACAATCTCAAGGCCAACTTGGTCAATGTAGCAAAACCCTGACTCAAAATGAAAAAGGACAAAAGGCTGAGAATTTAACTCAGTGGTAGAGCACTTACACAAGATTCTTTTTTTTTTAATTTAAGGAGAAAAGAAAAAAAGTGAAAGGGTACAAGTTATACAGATTTACAGAAGAAAAAAATGAACAGTAGGAAATCACTAGTTAATGGATTACATATTGCCATCTTAAAAATAATTGTTCAAGTCACAAAATTAAAGCTTGTAGAGTGGACATTCCAACAATGATACTGCAAACAATTCTGTTCAATGATCCAATAAAACTCTGTGATATCATTTTCTATCTTATACACTTAAATATACATGCAGTTATATAGTTTAGAGCACTTTCTTTTCCTCTTTTACACAAGATTCTTGAGGTCAATTCCCAGTACCATGAATATAAAAACTAAAAACCAAAAAGCCCCATTATAATCTTATGGGGCCACTATCACAAATATATTCCACAATTAGCTAAAGTGTCCTTAGGGGTTGTGTGACTGTTGAATGACTTATTCTGAGATTCATGCTTTGTTCTGGCCACTGAATAGTAAGAAATGCCATATACCTATAGTTTGTAGTCTTATCATTAAGGGTGGAAGGAGAGATAAGTAACATAGTTACAATAAGTGGGTTAGGAAATATGAAGGAAATGCTAAGATATAGCAGACCTGAGAGAGTCTAGAGGGAGGGATTAGGTAAATTTCCTGGGTTATCACTAATTATTATATGTCAACTTAACTTAAGTAACAATGGCCCAGCAGATTTGTAAGTTCTGAATGCATTTGTGGATGACTGACATTTAAGCCAGCATGGGAGATACCACCTGGATGTAGTTGACACTAACCAATAGATTTGTAACTTGGAAAGAATAAGGAAAGAAAGAAGAAAGTGTTCTCTCTTTTTTTCTGGAAAAGATCTTCTCCACTGTCTCTAGCATGGTATCTAAGTTCTTCAGCCTTTCAATGCAGAATGGTACTATACAGAAAGTTTCCAGGTCTTTAACTTGGACTGCCATTGAATTTCCTGCATCTTCAGTGCACAGACAGCCATTTTGGTTTCTTCCACCTGTGACCCCACAGATGGCCATTCTGACTTCTGCCTCTGATCCAGTCAGCACACTTAATGAATCCTTTGTATAAGTAGGCAAATGTTTTATGTTGATTTTATTCCTCTAGGAAACCCTAGTATACTGGGAAAGGTGATTCTAAATCCAAAGAATAAGATACTATTTTCCATAGAAAAATTAAAAAGAACACCTCAAAGGAAACAGTGAAAAAGTGAAAAATTCAGGAATAGCAAAGGCTATAGGAATTCCACATCAAGATGAGCCTAACAAATCAACCCAAGAGTCTGACTTTCAGTTAATTTGACATTCAGGAAGTGAAATCAGCCAGCCTGGGGAAGAAATATGTACCTTTACTATATTTTCTAAGGAAGTGGGACAAGATAAATGAAGGAAAATCCATGAGAGGTTCAGGAAAGAAGAGGAAAAAGAGATTTGAGGCATACATAAAAATTAGTAATAACCTGGCTAGCACATATCTTCACTACCAAAGTGTAGATATCAATCAATAAAGTCATGGGTTTCTAAAATAAAAGGAAGCTAAGACATATCTCAATTACCTTGTGTGCCTATGGAATGCATATGAGTAATAAAACTTCCTATAACAGAAATTACATTTATTATCTATGTGTTTAGCTGTCCTTTTACTATTTCTCCAAACTGTTTCACTTTGTCCATCTAAAATCCCCATGAAAGGAGCAAATTGTATTTATGTCATTTGTGGAATAATCTATGTATTCATTTGGAGTCTTGCGACTAAATTAGGGTGAGCACTGAGTTGGAAGAGGTCAGAAATTTTCAAATGGTGCTAAGGAGTTGACATTATCTTAAGCAGAATGGTCTTAAATGGTCATACATCTAATTTGTTTTTGCTTTTATTCCAAGAAAAATAAATTACAACTTCTCAGGTCAACAAGCCAACCTCCAGGTTTGGTTTTACTGCATGTCTAAGTAATAATGTAGGAGGATGGAGAAAAATCTACTTTCTAATGGATATTCTGGTGAATAAAACACAGAGTTTAAGAATATTGGTGTTTACCATGAGGAATCCATGAGTCTGGTCAAGGTCTTTGTGGAGTAAACCAAAACCATGTGAGAGCTGTAGTAACTCTCCCTGTGAGTTCCCTCCAATGTCCCATCATATGCACACAAGAGGTTACAGCGCTGACTGGGAAAGAGTTGAAAGTGGTGAACACTTGGAAAAATATTACAGCCTGGTTACTCCTGGGAAGCCCATGAAATTGGTATATCTGTACCAGCTTGAGCTGAAGTCTATGTTTATTTTGCCATCTTCCTCCCCTATGGAATGAGAGATACTACAAGTGCCATATAAATTGCTTAGGATTTTGGCAGCCAAATGATCTCTGTCTCATTTTTTTTTTAACCAAGGATTGAACTCACCATCACGTGCTTGCAAAGCAGGCGCTTATGCTGCTGAGCTAAATCTCTGGCTTTGTCTCTTTCTTTGTTAAGCAATAAAGGCCATAATGTCAGCACAGTTTTGTTCTAGAAACCTTTGCAATATCAACTTCCATCATAGATAGATAGATAGATAGATAGATAGATAGATAGATAGATGATAGATAGATAGATAGACAGATAGATAGATAGATATAGATATAGATATAGATATAGATATAGATATAGATATAGATATAGATATAGATAATCTCAAGTGCCACCCTGGGTCAGTTTTATTCTAGCACTGGGGATAGATTTTAAAGAGAGATAAAAGCCATTTTGATTTGACTACACAGGAGTAGATTTGGAGGAAATGTAGCTGTTCTGTATCCTGACCACTGAGCAATAATGTTCAACAGGTTGAAAATTTAAATGGTTGTCTTATTGCCCAGATTCCATAAATGTCTATACATAAAATTAAATTAAATTAAAAACCTAATCAGTTATTCAAGTAAATCAGCTTTATTGATGTTCATTTTCAAAAAATAAAACCACAGATATCTCTTAATTTAAAAGAAGGATATATTCTGATTGATAAACCTGTCAGAAATTGGAAAATGCACTGAATGCACTTAAATTACTGAGTATTCTAACTTGCCTGTCTTTAACACATTTAGAATATTTACTTGAGCCTGTAGCTTGGCAAGATACTTAATCCAAGCTGATTTTTGTTGGTATTGAGAATGGTACACAGGGTGATGTGCGTGCTAGGCCAGAACTCTGCTACTGAGCTGCATCTCCAGTTCATGAAAGCCAATTTTAATGAACTGTTAACTATTTCATATAGCTTATTGAATACGGAATCCTGTAAATACAAAATTTAATTGTTTTCCTCTCAGGGTTGCATGACTAACTGGGAATTCAGACGGGACCTTACTGCCTATCATAGAGGAAAAAAACTATCATAACACACATCACAGGCTTGAAAGAACAAAATTCAAATTTCACAGTATGATTTCTAGCAAATACATGTCGCATTCACAAGACCAAAATGTTAAAAAAATCCATAAGTTTGGCCATCATAAATTGGAAATTGTCTATAGTAAACTGTATGGAAGAAATGCATATTCCCAGATTAAATTTTCCCAGGAAAAAATGACTATAAAAATACATAAGTGGACTCAATAATTGTCAATAGTAGCAAAGACTTTGAAGACATCATTCAGGGTGTGATCAAAAAGACAAATGGAGAGGTACTTTAATCTGGGGCTGCTGAGCCTTCTCTGATGACTATGATTCTGAGCTGGGGTCTGAATCTGGCTAAGAACAAAACATTTCAGAGAATGGGCAGTGTGACAGTAAGAGGGCTTCACATGTGCAAAGAAAGAAATATTAGCATCTAAATACGTTTTCAGAGGCCACTTTGCGGTAGATAGACGATAGGTCGATACAGATAGAAGATAGATAGATAGATAGATAGATAGATAGATAGATAGATAGATGATTAAAGGATGGGTGATAGACAGATTCCCAATGTTGGAGTGAAATCCCACAAGCATTATAAACCCAACACATAAACTGAAGTGAGTTCCTTATCAGTATAGGTATCCAAACAGCCAAATTGATAAATTTGGGACTTTATTAGTTGAGCTCAGTGACCACCCACAGACATCTGTTTCAGAGTCAAATGAGTGGTCCTGAACTGTAAAGTTACAGAATTTTTAA